CCCCCCCCCCACCTCTCGACTTGTTTTCACATTGATGTTCCTTACCCTCTCTGTACAAACTCCCTACAGCCGCAACCACTAATGTGACATTTGCAATGAAATTCTTGCCAAGGTGTAATATCTCCCCATTATGCCACATCTGAACAGCAACAACAACAACAACAACAACGCATCCTACTTTGGCATTTACAAGTAAAAATATGTTGCTTGAGATGGAAAATTATTTGTTAGTAACACAAGAGAGGGCGGGGGACGTCATTAAGGAATCTACTTTGACCGCCTAGTGATCAAATGCAGAGAGGCAAAGAAGAAGGACATTAGAATGACTTCCTAAAAGACTTCTCTACTCCACACACACACATACACACACACACACACACACAAAGTCTACTCCGACCTTAGAACCCACTACAAATTCGTATATCTAACATCAGATTTTACTGATCATTTTTATCAATCGGGTTGGTAATAAACACTTCCTATTAACGTCGTCTAAAGAAATGGAAAATTGTCATCAATTATCCCCGTGGCACTCTCTCGAATACACGTGTTTACTCATACATCTGCACTGTCGTGGATTGTAGGATAAGTACGTTTCATTGGTGGTTCATCCGTCAATTCCACTTAACCTACTGAAATCCATTCAACACTATGTCTTAGAATTTTTGTCAAAGTCTGTTGATTACTATTAGTATTTGGGAGAATTGCGAGATTTACAATGTTGATTGTTGAACATAATTTAGAATTGCTTCAAAAGTAGGTGTAGGAACGTTGCCTACCTTGAGGGGAATTTCATTGAGATATGGTGGTTCACCAGTGATCATCTCCAGGGCCATAATACCCAGTGACCAGACATCCACTTTGGGTCCATACTGTTTGCGAGAGACCACTTCGGGTGCCATCCAATAGGGGGTTCCCACAATAGTGGAGCGTTTGTTCTGTTCTGCAGAAAGCTGAGCACAGAAACCAAAGTCAGTGAGTTTGACCGAACCATCCAGACCCAGGAGAATGTTGTCAGATTTGATGTCCCGGTGGATGACATTGTTGGTGTGAAGGAAATCAAGGGCTTGAAGGCACTAAAAATTATAAGTGAGACCTGTGAGTTGAGACGCGATACAAATCGGAGCAGCGGGCAGTCAAGACTTAAGTTTAGGTCAACTAATCTCCCCTTTGGTTATGTTAAGTGTCAGAAGACAGTTAAATGTAATTAAGGGGAGATTCATAGATTACTTAACATAATTTACCGTATAAAATAGCATCTTCAGACAGAGGAATTTTCGAGCGCTTTAAAGTGTAAAGTACTGTTGAGTTAAAATTTATCAGAACGGATAAAAGCTTACCTCCCTGCAGACAGTGGAAATCTGTCCTTCATCCATTAGTGTCTCTGTAACAACTTCCGTCAAGGAACCTCCGTCCAGGTATTCCATGACGACCCAAAGTTCGTCAGCTTCCACCAGGTAGGAATCGAGGTAGTTGACCACGTTGACGTGCTTATTCTTTTTCATCACGAAGATTTCATTCACAATTAACTCCTTCTTAGGTTGGAGTTTCAGATTCATCTGTTTAATGGCCACTCGACGACCTGTGGCGATTTCTACTCCGAGGCTCACAATACCAGTAGCTCTGAAGCCGGAAAAAAGGAATTATATGATTGCTAGCATAGCATTTGACTTTACGAAGATACAGTTAAACCGAATTGGTGTTTCGTTCGAAATGGTTAGGTAGTCGAAGTCAGAATTTCGCAAAAGAATATTGTCTTTCTACTGTACAATAGAGAACCTAGCCACACATTGCACTCTAAGGTAAGAGGTCATAGTGGATTGCACGCATGGATGAGAGCACTCAGAACACCAATGTTTCGTTTTCTTCTATTCGCCATGAGCACCCAAGTTCACAACGCGTATAAATGGACAAACAGGTCTGTTTCAAGCTTTTTATATGAACACCCAAGTCCACAAAACACACAATTCGAGGATGGAAAGTACAACCTCCAGCCTGTGGATTAACATAGGAGAGGGAAGAATAGGGGGTGGGGGGGGGGAGTGGGGGGTGTTCTCAATTCACTTCTTGCCCTTCTTCTTAGATGAAGGTGTGATGAGTTCATTTCTAGCCCTTTGTAAGTACTAATAAAAATTCTGTGTTAGCTACATTTAGAATTACATTCAGCATTCTTAGTGAATGACAAACTGCTCACATAATATTTTATCTCGAATGGAAGTGAAAATCGATCTGCATAAAGCCAGTAATTGTAATGTGCCATAATACAGCCATCAAAATATGCCAATCAAGAGGAGATCTTGCCTAACAAATGTGGAAGAAGATCGCTTCTTAACGGGTTTTTTGCTAATGACATTTCCTAAATATGGAAATGAGACTTGACCCACTTCTTCACCAAAAATTGGATCAACCGCAAAACGCCCTCGAAGTTCATCAATTCATAAAAGGATATAGCTAATAGAAATGGTTAAAATTGAATAATATTCATAAATTGAGGCAATAATTGAACTAATGCAATGGAGAGCAATGCAATTCATTCGGGGGGTCGCAATGGGTAGTGATGATTGATTTGCTGATGAAAAGGACTGTAATGACCGCAAATTTGACTGCGCTTGTTTAAAACGACCAATGGGGCAGGCGAATTGGGGCTGGAAATTCAGACAGGCTGTTTTTAGCTAAACAATAACACTGCATACTAGATGGGGAATAAACATAGTATTAAAAAATACTACTTTGGCATTGTCTCGCATGGAGAAAAAAGCTATTACCAATTAACTAACTGCTCCATGCAGATATAAACATTCAATTGAAGATCAATCGGCGGGGAAGAGTATAGCATATTTGAGGGGAATAAAGATGGACAAATCTCCAGCCTTAACTTTGCTACAAGACTATCGCAGCCCATTTGGAATCCTACTCTTGAAAGATTGAAGTGGCAATTAGTCAGACTCCTAAATAAAGTAAGCAGAAAATGCAGATACAAATTAAGACTAGTCAATCAGCTGTTGATGAATTGTGATATGATGAAATTATCTTTACTAGCAATACTACTTATAAAAATTCTCGAGATTATTTAGGAAAGCGCTTTTCAAACCTCACCTTGAGTAGAGTAGCACCGTGAAGCCTCCATAGCTAGAAGCTCAAAGTCGATCACTCTCCATATAATTAATGAAGCTCACCATTCTAATAACTGAGTACGCACCTTTGGGAATCGAACCCGTGACATCTGACTAGCAAAAGGGCATGTTAGAACCGTTGGAACACTGGAGACAACATTCAAATATCCTAAGTATTCCAAGCAGCAAATCATCAAATAGAGACTAAAGTGTAGATTCTAACAACAGTGAAAAGATTGCATACATTTTACTCAGTTGATAGAGCTCAAAATCCAATCATTTGCTCGTATACAGCTTTCATAATCGGCACCTAATTAGTAGACATTGAGAGGTGGACCACAAGCAACTAGATTAGTTGCATGGTCCTACCACAAAACGAGGTAGCTAGAATCAGCAATCCTCGATCACCTAAACCACCTCCACCACCACCACCACCTCCCACATAAGCAGTCACATGCCACCAACGTATATGAAATGGGTCGCAGGAACTAAGGCACTGCACATTCCAGTTGGCATGACCCAATTGCACATTTTGGATCATATGAGACCATATTTGTTCACTGAGAAGAGCCTTGGATTTGTAACCATACTATAGGGGAGAACAGTTTTCATAGAAGCGCTACGCTTCTCTCTTCAATCAACGCGTAGGCACGAGCGATTCGGCCAAAGTCAAACAAACCTCAAGTAGGCAACACACCACACACGCAATCACCACCGGTGAGGGAAATAAATTGCCCTTTCTTTAAACCAGGGGGTGGTGGTTTTTACGCAGATATGTGCAGTGGGTGTACACGGGAAGCATTGATATGTATAAATATATATTTTTTTGAAAAAAAAACAGGAAAGAAACGCCCTATAGAAGAGGAAATAGGATGCTTAGAAAAAAAAGTAGCGGGGAGGGGGGGGGGAGGTGGGTAGAAGTCACCAGGGTAGAATAGAGAAAGTTGCCCAGCCTCTAAGGGCAACAGCATAAACAAGATAGAAAGAAGAATAAGGAGAAAATACAGCATACTTGTATTAGAAGGGAGAAAATGAATGGGTCTAGTATGCAGCAAAATGAACAATGCATTGAGCAGCTGCTGTGTGAATGAGAGAGAGAGGTGGCAGAATGGGGGTTTCTCGTAGGAGTGACCACAGGATGTCTGCTCTCTACCTACGTCAACCTCCTTTGAACATAATTTCACGTGGGTTTAGGACGTTTTTCTGAGGCGTATAAGCCCGTGAGAAACTTGATACAATGTGGCCAAGGTAAAAGCGACGTGTTGAGACATGCTGTTCTGTGTCTCGAAGTTCGCGGTGAACACTTTCAACCTTATCTGTGAACTATAGAACGCTCAGTATGTTGCCATTCGCCATATTCTGCATATAAAACTTTTACATAAAAATGCGATGTTAATTTACCTTTCTCTATTCGTATACGACCTAAACTATCTTGGCCACCCGATATGTGGTAGGTATGGAACCAGATCACATCGATAAAATGTTCAATAGAGTATTTTGAGAAAGGGTATGCCGATAAGTCAATAGGAGTCCATCGTATGAGCCTACGATAGAGTATGCAGAATTCGTTAACACCGATCTATTAGTGAGCGTTCAAAAAAGAGTGCATTGGGCGCTTTTCCATCCAATTAAGTAATAAAATACGCCGCCTGGGATTACTTTGTCTCTATCCGAGTGGAGGAAGACGAGGGACGATTTTGTTTACGTGACAAACTAAAAGAGCTGAATAATTCGGGTGATAGGAGGAGGAGGAGGAGGAGGCAGGGGGATGCAGTTGTATGACGTAGCTTGCTGGTACAACAATGACTAAGACGTGGGGGGGGGGGGGGGGGGTAGAATTTTGTACGCGAATGGGGGATTAGTCGTTCATTTTACGATGACAAAATTTGCCCACATCTTCTCCTGATTAATGGGCAGTAGTTGGAACGAAAGACCATTAGAAAAAAAAAGCATGACAAACGTGATTTTGACAAGATTGATGATGATGATATCTTCCCAAAGTTGGCAGGGCAAATGTGAGGCATGATGTCAGTGGTTGGTGAAAGAAAAAAAAGGCTTATAGATTCTTGCATTAAGATACACTGGAAATTTGTGGAAATGGTTGATTGGAGTTCATTGTGGATTGTGTCACACGAGTAATAAAAACGTAACATTATTTTCAAATAACTTCATTTCTTTGACAATTTTATATCTTTGGAGAAACCAAAACCTATTGATTAACATGTCAGTGGCGGTCAATAGTAATGCTCTATTCTTCAGAGGTTACTGGGATCAAATAGTGAACGGAATGACCGACCTTAAAGGTTAATAGAGTTCAATAGATGTAAGGACATCCTGCACCCAAAATAAGCACCGGGAAAAGCTTGATCATCCAATGAATATTGAGGTATTGTCGTTAAAAAGGTTTATTATCCTGCCCTCTGGTTAATTAGTGAACACTCGTCAGCAAATTTTATAACACATCTAAAAGGTACAGCATGACCATGTGCCGATATCAATGTACCCCCCACCCACGAAAAAAAAGGAATAAAACAAAAAGCGTTAGAAAATGGCAAATTGTACCAATCACAAACTATCGGTTTTGGACACAGGATATTGAGATGCATGATCAAGAGAGCAATGCTTTCAAAATAATGCCTCTTCAAGCTAAGCATGAGAACTGAAGAAATATACGCAGATATAGATCACAATGAGTCTAAATTAGTTGGCAATACTAAAAAAAATTGGGTGATCGTATTCTGAATAGGGAGTAAATAGACCCAATGCCCAACAAGAATGAACTAAGTAGACGCATCATGTCGAAATACGCGCTCGCGAATGGGAACATTAATAAAAGAATAAATATGCTAATGATAATGCCATGTCATTTCGCACAGAGAGTAGCTTTCGATAGACAAAAAACAGCGACAATTTTTGCCTTGTTGCTCACCAAATGCAAGCTCTCAGGCAGGAAATTTCTGAAAACGCAAATAAGTCAAATGGAAGTTTGGGTTCAAGAGCAATTAAGGGGCAAGAGCCATGTTGTGGAATTATCGCCTACTGATGTGTGAGATTTGTCAAGTAAATCAGTGCATCTACGTCGAAGGGTTTTGAACCCGTGATCCCTGCCATATCATACTATTAATGCCCCAGTTTTCATGACAGAAATATTGCTTTAGTGCGAGAAAAGTGAATTTATTAAGTACTTACCTTTAGAAAATACCACGTTTACTATTCATGTTTCACACAAACACACTTCCCATCGCTTTTACATTTCCATTATTTTCTAGATCACAACTGAGTTTGAAAGGGTGCTCCTGTTCCCCCTTCCCCTCTCCCCCCCCCCCCCCCGAGTTTCGGGAACTGAAGTATTGGAATTGTTCGGAGTATAACCACTCATAATAAATCTATCAGAAGAATATTTATATTCATGGGGTGTGCGATAGACTTACCTCCACGTGGTGCACCCTGGGCAACGTATACTCATACGGCAAATAAAGTCTATTAACTGGCAGTTGACTTATCACTTTAAACTACCATCACCCCACTGTATGTCATATTCGACTATTTCACAGTACTCACCTCACCTTTGTTCTACCTTTGTATTTGTCTCTTACATCTTTGAAACACTCTTCTGTCCCCCCCCCTCCCGACTTTTTTTCAATTTGATGTTCCTTCCCCTCTGTGAAGCCTGAAGTCAACTAAAGGGCTAATGATATTCATCAAGACGACCGCATTTGACATAAATAAATATAAATAAATAAATATTTATATTCATAACCTACTACAACACAAAATACCATTTCGTCTAACTAAAAAAGTCAACAAATCGGAAAGAAAAAGCCGTCATTGAACCCACGTGAGCTGTTTGTCGCTGCATTAGCAGACTCAACTCTCACAGCATTGACATTTATGATCAAATAGTACTCCAACTTATATTAAAATTACAATTTTGCGCAATATATCTTAAATTCCAATCGATGCCCATAAAAGAAAATACGAAAAAAGTAAAGAATGGAATGACATTTTTACCATTATGATTCGATCGATCAATAGCTCTCTTTACACAGCGATCTCAACTAAACGAGAAACAGATGGTGGTGACGTAATTGAAGGCATTTAAGAGACTTTTTGTTAGAAGGTGGATAAGATCGGCCAATTTTCGTGAGCTTTGGCATGCTTAAAAACGCGTTGAATACGAATGAATTAACCAGTAAAAATTGGTTATCGGTGGACACGAACTCGTAGAGAAATATGTGGATCAAATCACTCCCCCCTCCCCTCCCCCACCCACGCTTGTTTGCTGAGATCTGATGGTATTAGGCAGTCAAAAAAAAACAATGTGCTGAACTCTAGTATTAGTGGAAAATGTCATAGAGACATATTAGCACAGCAAAACAAACAGCGGATTTGTTGAAGGCTTAGAAATAAAATAAGAAAGCGATTTCTTGAAAATCGAAATGATATTACATTCTGCAAGCACGAATTCATTTCCAAACTGGAAAAGATCGATATTTCCATAGAAAAAAAAACAATTATTACTTTTCAGACTTTACTACGTGTAACGAATACTCGATACATTAACGCTCATTTTGAGTAATCAGTTTAACCCGACTTCCCCTCAAGGCCAAACGTCGGCCAATAGGAGACAAAAACCCTAATTAACTCACCCCAGCAGGAGGTAAAAGGGGACTTTTCGAGTCCAAATAAAAATCTCAAACTTGAACGTACAGGAATGACAACTCTCCATGAAAGTACAAATCCATAAACTTTTCGAACTGAAACGCTTTCAGTGCGACTGATTTATTGCCTACATTTGTTGAGCCAGTGTATATGACATTTATAATTAAATTTCCCTATTTGTAAGATCAAAAGGGAGCATGTAGCTCAGATATCAACTTCAAGTAGAAATAAGGCCCAGACAAAATCGAATTATTTTAGGGGAAACATAACTGAAACCTGATAACACCCCCACAAGGCAATAAAAGGAAAGTAATACGGGCGATGAAATTATTTTTTGTGGAAGATAGTACAGTATGTTTGGGATATAATTTGCAGGGTAATATTTTGCCCCTTTTTCAGGAGCGTTAAGGGTTTTCCACCCACAACGCTATTTTTCAAAATTTAAACCTTGATAAAAAGAGAATGAGTGACTAAAACTACACTTGTATAAAGATGACTCGAACTGGTCATCAAACAAGAAGATTATGGTCGCTGCTCAATGCTTCCTCAATGTAGAGAAATGAATGAGATATGAACAGAAGAATTGCTGACCTGTCACAGCATAATGGATGAACTGATGAGATTGCGATCGTACGGCAGATTTCTTATAATTGCCGTGCAAATAGGGTCAAGAAACCAGTTACTGGATAGACTGAAAGCCATTTTTGATAGCCTCCCAAGGGGAGTAGGATTTTGGCTGTAAAAGACGCTAATTGTGGTTGTTTTGAGTAAAAGGTTTTGATAATAGGTCGATTTCCCGATCTATTGAATTTCTTTCAAGTGTATCAAATTGTGTAGTTCCCTTTCTTGATGATACTGTTAAATTTATCCCTAACGCACTGAATACGTGGTGGGGGTATTGGTGATGTCGATGACAGATCCGAAAACACAAACGAACACGAAGGCAAGCGAATCAGGCAGCCTGCCAACGGAGAGGCGGCAACAACGACAAGGACTTGGCAGAGACTAAGCTACGGCAGTGACTGCACACGTGCCCTGCTACGCGCGCGGCGCGCCAAGCTCACACGTGCAAAATTAAGCACGTGGGCACCTAAGTGTGCGCGTTTGGGGTAGCGCGCTAACACACCAGATCGTATTCGGGAGGAATATCGTTAACGCAGAGATAAATATACACCACCACCACCACCACCGCAGAACCCGTGGGGAAAAAATGCGAATACAACACATGATTCTGATAGACACAGAGGGGAGCGCAAAGAAAAGGGGGGGGGGATATTTAGTTCGACAGTAAACCAAGAACGCGGATATTGGCTTCAAGTCTATTCTACTAATTAGACCGAATTGTGGTCTACTAGGTCGCAAGGCTGACACCCACTCTATTTCCCCCTCTATATTCTGTCAATGTCCCAATCACTTTCCCTCCTTCTTTTTCAGTCCGAGATTGGGATCTACTTGGCCAGAATCGCCTTTGCATTAAATGCTCGATATAAAATGCCCAATAGGTCAATAAAACACAGAAAATAGCTAGATCACCACGAGAAGAAATTTCCGCAAGGCAGTAAGTAGGTGAAAATACATATCCAATAAAATCTAGTTAGCTGAAAGGTGGGATTTCTTGGAAGTTGAGATCTTGGAGAGTTAAAATCGGAAATGTCTATTGTAAGGAAGCATAAACTAATCGTAGAAGCTACCAATAGCAATCTACCTTACCGATTTAAAAGTGTATTACATCGTGTAAACCACAATGAGGAAACGAGTGAGTAAGGGAGAGAGGGTGATGAGTTGTACAAGCAAAAAACGACAAGCAAGTGTGTAGAACGGTGACTGTGTTGATTGTCAACCAACTTTAGGCTACGTTGCATAGACTTGACAGTTGATTGATTAGGAAGTCTCTGTATGCAACTTCGCACTTATTGGAATGCTCTAGTGCTTATGAGATGCCTTTGGCAAGCCTTGAAAGCTTTGTGCACCACCGAATTTTTCTCATAGTAAGAGATGGGCCCTCACTATAAGCTGACCGTTTCTTTATAAATTTATACTAAGATAGCAATAAGGAGGGGGATGAAAATGTTCTGGAACAGGATTTTGAATCACAGATCTCGTGCTTACTGTTTCCACCACGTCTAAGAGAGCTTAGTCCATTTAGGCATCATTCACGTAGGAAAGGGGAAGAATTTTGAAGAAAATACTATATTGCAAAAAAGGGCTGAGAATATCCACCTTTGTTAAGAGTTTAAGGTATAAATTAGTCAATAATTCAACCCCCCCCCCTCCCCTCCCTCATTATGAATGAAAAACAAATCAGCTGTAATGAAGAAACAATTGGCACTCACCCTTGGCCAATCTTCTCCAGCTTCCTATACTTATCCGTGGGGCTGCCCTCACTGACCAGCAGTCTGAGATTAGCGTAAACCTCCTCATCCGTCATTCTGCTCTTCATCTTCGCCAAGAGTACCCTATGATCGCCCTCGTGTTTGTGATTGTGTTGGTGGTTATTTGCATCCGCAGCTCCGCTACTGCCGCCGCCGCCGCCGCTGGCACCACCACTGTGATGATGGTGCTGATGCTGGTGCGATGTGGATTTGGACTGAAAGGACTTGGATTTCGAGGAAGCGAGGTCCGCAGGGACAGTCGCCGCAACCTTGTGCTTGGGTGATGGGGAGGAGGCTGCGGTGGAGGAGGAGGTAAAGCGGTCATCTTTACCCTCCCTCCTATTGGTACTGGTGTCTCGATCCCTTTGAGACGACTTTTTGGAAGAACGGTTGGGGGCTGCTGTTCGGTGGGTCTGGGGCTTAGGGGTTGTGTCAGAAGTATCAACGGGGATAGTGTACTTGAAGAAAACATAGGATATTTTAAGAAATAATCAATACTACGAGATTAAGACAAGCAAAACTCGAACGGAATTAAAGGCTCAAAAAGATATCGATTAAGGCTAGAATAAAAATACTGAGGGTATTTATCAACCGGTTAGTAGATTATAAGGCTAGTGATAATATCTCCAAGACCAATCAGAATACTGTTCGACGAAGGGTACTGAGTTAACAGACTAAAAGGGGCGTAATAGCTAAATTTCGAGCAATAATGCTCTTTTTCGGGAATAGGAGCGAAGACTATCTATTGGCTACTGGTAAGTCTTCAAGTGTAAAATGAGATACTAATCGAAGTGCGGTTGAAAAAATTACACTTCACGCATCTTCGAGCATTGACCACGATTGAAATTGAATGCCTAGAAGAGAAATTCTGTGTGGACTCTCATTGGAATTTATCCGTTGGAAAGGAAGGTGAAGTGAGAAGACGTTGGTGGATCAACAGCCTAAAAATAAATCCAAAGATGATCCGCCAACTGGTGGTTACAAGAACTCGGTTATTTGTCAAATTTTAACCAATGCATACGTTTGAACCGAACGCGAAATTTGAGCCCATGGAATTTAAAAGCTCCCAACTTGCGACTAAGTTGAAGAGTCAACTTACTTGGATCGGTCTCTTGAATTAGTAAGCTTTTGTTAGTCTGCCCTAGATTAAGGACGCTTTATGCCCTAGAAAACCTCCCTTCCATTAAAAGAAGAACACGCAAAACACAATCATCATATAGTGTCTGCCACCGGCACCGGAACGGGGCATAAGAAACTCCAGAACTTTGAGGTGAGGGGTTTATAGCTCTAGACGTCCCATTCGGCAATAGGAGGCACTAATTTGACAACAAAACAAAATGCCCACGCCATACAATAGGAATGTATAAGGCTTCCAAAACGTTTATTAAGCAAGTTACGAGTTTGTTTGGAAGTAAATGAGCAAAATATGATGGAGTTTATGCCTAGAAAACAGATGAACGAGAGCTTAGAGCAGATTTTTCTCAGTGCCTCGGAGAAAAGATGGAAGTTTTGGAGGTGTTAAAGTACGCTAGAATTCTTGATTTAAGGCAGGATTTCCTCTCACAGCGCGGAATTCCTTTTCTTACTTTTGTGGTTCAATTTAAAAAGTGAGACTCACATAGCCAATGTTCTAGAAATATGATCCGAGAACGAATAGAGTGTAAAGTAAAAAATGAACAATATTCAATTTCATACCACATTACAAGATCATAATCGTGTAATATTTCTATTTGGGGATTAGATGCATTTGAATCAGGGCTACAGGTAAGAGTGCCTATTGGAAAGAATCGAATCTGATCTATTTGGGGGGGGGGGGGGGGGGGGGGGGGGGGGGTGNNNGGGTAGGTGGGTAGGGAATCGTTTATTAAGCACCAAGACTCGTAAAGACTGCTACCCTTAGCCTACTTTGAGAATTTAAACCACTAAGTAGATCAAGCGCTTATTGTACAAAAAGTAACAATTTGATTGCAAACTTGCATTTCCAATAAAATATATCTCAGAGAGAGTGGTGTGACAATTTCTTTGGTCGGCAAAATTATTCTGGTTAGAATGTAGGAAAAGTGGGGAGGGGGGAAGGGACTGTGGAAATCAAGATTCGCGGAACTTTCGAGGAGGGGCATGCTCGATCTTGGAGGCAACATTTTGATAAACTTTAACAAATAAAAATAGCACAAAAGTACCAACACATAGCTCTCAAGGTGAGTGGGAAGGAAATTCAACCTTCCCCCCACCCACCACCCCCAACCCCTATAAATAAAATCCCCCTATTATATCACTAATACTAAGACAATATAAAAGCCTTTGTCAGTTTAAAAAACGAGAGCCTTGTCTCATTGACACTCAGTCGAGAAGTAAATTTAAAATGGTTAAATTGTAATAAGACCTTTTATTGAGGCAGACAATTGGGTAAGACAACACATGCATTAATAGGAGACAATCAATACTTTGGGTCAAGTTTGCAAATTCTACAATACTTCAAAAAACTGCCAAGTACTTTTTTTAACTGGAGGAAGTACATATTTTAGGTCAATGATGGGAAGGGCAGAAAATTAAGCGTCCGACTTTTATTAAAAACCCTCCGCTTTCCATGCACTTTATTTTAATCAACCAATCAAATGGTGAAATAAAACGGGGAAAAACTGAAGAAAATCCCTGTGACTTATTTTGAACTCAGAGCGATGGAGATGATGTATTTGAGTGCATCTACGGATGTAAGATGTTAAAACCTTAGTACTAAAGCCTCATACATTAAATTGTGGGGTGTCCGATTGATTTACCTCCATGTAGTGCACCCTGGCAACCTATACTCATACGGAAAAAGGTCTACAAAATCGCCAGTAAGTCATATTCCACCGCTTCCCCAGTACTCACCTCGCCTTTTCTCTACCTTGTGTCTGCTGAATCTTTTATATCTGTGAATCACTCTTCTGTTCCCCTCCCCTCCCTTTGTGAGGCCCGAAGTCAACTAAAAGGGATAATGATAATTATCAAAAGGCTGCCTGCCATTTGATATTAAGATTTCCTAACAAATTTCATATTGAGAGCTTATGTACTACCGAAATTGAGTTGCCCAGCTTTTTAAAGTTAGGAGAGAGACCAAAGAGGTGAATCAATCAACAACTCGTTCCCGTCCTCCGAGAAGTATAATATCGAAAGCTATGCATATCCAGATTTCTTGCACGAATATTCATTGACCTTTTTCGTTTAAATACGACGGTTCCCTAGGCATGCCTTCTACTTAGGCGCTACCAACACAAATGAATAAGAGTACAACCTACAATAATAGTACAAATTTAAAAGGGAAACTCACAATAGACTTAGTCTGCTCTGGTCTTGAGGCCACAGGCGGAGGGGGTCGATGACTATTGCTCGTTGCATCTCCCTTTTGTGTAGCAGCATTAACAGATGTAGCATTGACTGTGGGGAATCGACGTCTCGTGGCTTGAGGAGAAGGTGGTTGAAAGAGAATATTACCGCCTGCAACACCAGAACCTGGAATATTCAAACTATTATTAGTTGTGCCATTGGCACTACCCTCCAAACCCGGAGGAAGGCCACCGTTGCCACCCGCACGTCGTGGAAGAGTGGAGGCGTGAGGAAATTCCTCCTGAAGGTAAAAGGGAATGCAAGGTAGTTAATGTATGAATATGCAAATTGTTAAAACAAACGAAGCCATTGATTTAACTTTTATTCCCCTCCCCCCAAAATATTGAAATTCCTAATGTAATTTACACTTTCCCTAATAACTGTTCATGGGCCCCCCCCCCCCAGGCATATACAAGTGCACTGAATAGCAAGGCCTGAAGCCTTGGGCCTCATAATCGATATTCCAACTTTGAGGTCCTCAAGCTAAAGAGGCAGAAATGCCAATCTCATTGAGGGTAGTTATTTCGAACGTTGCCATTAAGCACAAAGGAGAAGGAATCCCACAGTCTCACATTTAATTAATTAATTAATGCAGTAGATCAACCCAATAACTAGATATGCAGTGACGAATTTCGATCTGACTTGGCAAGAGTTTAGACGCTAAGCCATACGGCAATACAATTAGAGAAGAATCAAAGAAAATCAACATTTTTCAACGACTTCGCAACAATTGGGAAAAGAGTTAACCAACTAGAGTATGCCAAATGGGCTCAAGACAGCCTCTCAACGCCCTTAGGACTGAACGATCCTCTTTCAAAATAAGCTCCATTTGGTATTAGACTCCTTACTGGAGGCGCTATTGCTGTTTGAGTAATATTCAATATCTCTATAGTCTTCCCCTGCTACCACTAAAACTCCCTCATGTCGGCGGCATCAGTCTGCTGTAAGGCACGCGTTAGTGGGGTGGGGTGCATTTTTCAAAAAAATAATAATTCGGGCGTTACAGGGTTAATCAACAAACGTTAATGTCGTACATTAAGGAATATTATTATTCTCTCAATAACTTGAGTGACAGTAACGCATTGCATGCAAGCGCTTGTCCTAACTACATGTCAATAAATGGCATTAGTTTCATTGTTAACTTCGAAATATTCTACTCAATCAATCAATCAACTCAAATTATTCCAATATACTATACATTTATTTTATATTTTAATACGAAATTTAAGTCTTTTCGGAAGCAGTGGAAATTGAGCAGCCCCCTTAAGCACCCGCCTTAATTGATCGTCCTTGGGAGTAAGGGCAGTAACGAGTAAGGCTGAACATACTTGAGCGATAGCATTGCGTGACAAGAAACGTTTTCATTTGCCGAAGATTCACAGACTACTACTACTACTACTACGACCCTGAAAATTTGCCTTTATTTTCTACTCTGTTCTAGCGAAGAGAAAACTCCGCGTTTCTCTAATGTGGGTATTTTATTTGCTTTGCGCATTCCAGTCATAGTATGCCGGACCAGTCAGCGAGAATGTGTCACCTAGCGAGTGAAATACTTGCATAAAACTATTACAATTCAATTTGAGTAAACTCGAGTTTGCTCAGGGGTATTTCAAATACTTTCGCTAGTCTCGACCACCTGTTCAATGCTGTGTAAAAGTACAGACGAATCAAAGTGGTCAAGCCTACCAACCGGCCACAGCAAGTTCTGAATAGTGTGGGCGTGAACGCAACGAGCAGCCTATGGATAAACTCATGAAAATTGGAAT